GCCAGGTGCCGCCGGCCGGGGGAGGAGGCTCCGCAGGTAGGAAGCCGCCGGCGCCCTGGGGTCTCGGTGGGGGCTCTTCCTCTGCTGTGGGCTTCGTCCCTGGGGTCCCCCCTGGGTCCCCGTGCTCCCGGGGCCTGTGGGTCCGGCTCTGGGGCCCCTGGTCCCCCCTGCCCTGACGGCCCCTCCCTCTGCCAGGACTACATCGCGGTGAAGGAGAAGTATGCCAAGTACCTGCCCCACAGCGCCGGGCGCTACGCGGCCAAGCGCTTCCGCAAGGCGCAGTGCCCCATCGTGGAGCGCCTCACCAACTCCATGATGATGCACGGCCGCAACAACGGCAAGAAGCTCATGACCGTGCGCATCGTCAAGCACGCCTTCGAGATCATCCACCTGCTGACGGGCGAGGTAGGCGGCCGGGCAGAGCGCCGCCCACAGAGCCGCTGGGGGCCCTCAGGGTTTGGGGTGACCATGGACAGTCCCGCCTGTCTCGGCTCATTGGCTCCCTCTCTCCCAGAACCCCCTGCAGGTCCTGGTGAACGCCATCATCAACAGTGGCCCCCGGGAGGACTCCACCCGAATTGGGCGCGCCGGGACCGTGCGGCGGCAGGCTGTGGACGTGTCCCCTCTGCGCCGTGTGAACCAGGTGGGCCTGGGGTTGCGGCCTCAGAGGAGTCCTGCCCGGGGCAGGGGCCGGCCAGTGGGAAGGTTCGCCCAGCCACATGCTTTGCTTGGAGTGTCACTTCCTCCAGGGAGCCTTCCTGAATTCCTGGCCGTGCAGGGCAGATGCCAGCTCTGGGCCTTTGGGGCGGCGTTGGGCTGAGGTGCCGTTTGAGTCTGGTGTACATTTGGTCACTGTGTGTGTTTCTTGGACCGTTGGAGGATCAGTTGATGACGTTCTCAGAGAACATGGACGTTCTATTCCCACTGTCTCCCGGTCTGGGGCTCCCTCTGTCCTGTGTGTGCAGCCGCCCCAGCACTGTAGCTGCTCGTTTTCAATCCAGGGTCCAGGCCGGGAGCACACCCTGTCATGGCAGGTCTCCAGTCTCCAGGAATGGGGGACCCTTTGTGTCTGCACTTTAGGGCCCCAGTCTGACCCCAGACCTGGCGGCATGCCACCCGAGCAACAGTGTGGTCAGTGTGGTCGGCAGCACTCCTTGGGGCCCACGGACCGGCCCTGCCTGGTGTGGGGTGTCCTGCCCCAGGCTTAGCCAACCCCTGTGCTCCCCAGGCCATCTGGCTGCTGTGCACGGGTGCCCGCGAGGCTGCCTTCCGGAACATCAAGACCATTGCCGAGTGCCTGGCAGACGAGCTCATCAACGCGGCCAAGGTGGGTGAGGACACGGCGGGGGCGGGGG